TTGGTTTACGGTATCATTTTGTTGAATAGCCACTTTCTAAGAATTTGACTTGGGTGTTTAAAAATAGTAGCCAATCCACATTTGAACTTTCCCGCGTGAATATGATGAAATTTGACTGCCCATTCAAGACCTTGGAACAGCGACAAGTTCCTCAGGCGTTCTGATCTTATTTTCTCTGGGACCAGGTGTTGTTCTACTCTTCACCGGCGACAAGTGTGTTTCGGAAGGGAGGATCGGTTAAAACGACAAAGTCATTCTCTTTGAATTCGTATTACGGTAAGAGGACATGGCTATTAAAGAAATCCGAGTAGAAGTCGTGAACGATTTTCTTCCATTTTGGAAACTGTAAGTGTCCCGTCAGGGCGTCGGTTTACAATCAGGTAATCAAATGTTAGACGGTAATAAATGAATATTTGACCTCATTCGCTGAATAAGAATTTTCATGAAAGTGTTAGTAATTGTTCGAATGCCTAAATCTCACGCAGAGCCGTAGATGGCCGGATTTCTATTACATCCTTCCATTACGCCAGATTGAAATCACGTTTCGCACGACCGCAGGTTTTTTTTTCTTATCTCGCCTATATTTGTCTGGGCGAAACTCCTTTCTTAGACTCCTAGCACTGTTTCGATAGCAAAAGTCTCGAAGAACTCGGAAATGTGCTTTTCTTGGTAAAGCCTTTTTGATAGCGCTGCAATGAAAAAAATTTTTTGTTTTACACCTCGTCGAACACAGATTTTTCTGTAGACTACTGGTAATTATTCGATAGCGCAAATTTCAATGATTCCAACGTTTTGCTTAGCTTCTGGAAAGACGGTCTCACTGCAGATCGATATCAGGACCGAGTTTTACACATTCGGCGAGCTTGCTTACAGGCCAACCCACGGGCTGGGGGCTGGACGACCGATCGATGGCGTGACGCGTTGGAAATGTGAACTACAACTTATTTTCAATTGTGAATTTTTTTACATGGAAAGAAACTCCATATAAAGCGATTGACTCAGAGACTACGAGATTTTCACTACACACTTACATGGTTTTCGTGCTTCCTGAGGATTATACGCACGAGAAAACTGGAAGCGCGCGGAGGGTGTGAAACGTAATTTTATTTTGAACAGCGTTGTAAAAAGGCTTTTTCGATAATCGGCCACGTAGGGCTCTAGTCAGAGATCCAAGCGTTCTAATGATTACTAACACTCCTATGAAAAATTCTTGTCCAGTGAATGACATTGAATTTGCAATTATTGCCGCCGTCTAACACATAAGTACCTGCTGTCATTTTGGTCTTGTAACTGACGAAGATTCGCTAGGCTTTGCAAATGCTCTACCCAGCTTCTGTAGCTTCGCCCATGACTTTGTCTCTCTCTGAGACCTTTAATTATCGCTTCGTAGCAGCGTTCCGCAAGTTCGGGCGTGAGAATTCCTTTGCCTGTGGCTCGTGCGATTCCAAACGAATTACCTCAAGTGTTTGTGGAGAGAAGCGTTTCTTCGTGAATTTAGGACTCACGGCTTTCCTAGCGCTGACGTGAAGATATCCAATGAGCCACTAGTTTTTCTCGTAGGCGTTGTCAGCAACGGTAACTTTCCAGGAGCCGACTAGTGACTCAAATACATCGCAGCTCATGATAGTTCTAAGACTTCCTTTAGTGAACTCGGCGGCCTTATCTCCCTTCGAAAAATAAAACGTTGCGCGAAGGAGGCGATGGCCTGACCCGTGTAGAACTTAGGATCAACAGCGACACAGGTCAGGCAGAACCATTTACTAAGATAAGGTCTATCTCATTATGGTATTCTTTGTCGAGAGACCCCACGTCCTTTGAAACTGAGAGCTACTATGAATGGTCTGCGTAGTCATGATAAACTAAAGTAGCCTCTCACCCTGCTCATTCCATTCTAGTCCGCTGGTGCCAATGTACAATCTTCAGGCGTTCTAGGTCTAACTGGCGTTTTTCTCCAACAGTGACCTTGAAGAATGTATGGTTCTCTCTGAAGCGCTTTTCGACGTCCATACAGAACACTTCGACTTCGTCTTCGTCACAGTTTGATGTTAGTGCGTAAGCAACGAAAATGCTCAAAGTAGGCATGGACCCACATAGTCTCAAACGCAATCGTCCGTGCGGCTCGTCAGCTGTTCAAATGAATCGAGTTATGGTTATATTGGAATTGACGAGAACGCCTACGCCGCTGATAACTCTGCAGTGTCATGTTCCAAGAAACAGTTCTTCGCCGGTGTCATGAATAGCGTGAAATGGATGGCGTCTTCTCGTCTCAGCAGACGTCGCATCTAATCAGTCTTGCATGAATTGATAGATCTTTTACTTGTAGCTTGCTTGACTCTAAACGTGATGACTGAGTACTCACAAGCAGCTTGTTAGTCTTTCCTGGAATAGCAGTAGAACCCTGATTGTTGGAGGCGACTCCTAACAACCTCTCATATACTTCCCAGCCGCTTGATTGCAGGTTTTTGGCCGACTTGACTCGTAGAAATACACTTGTCAAATCGGCGCAGAAGATATAAGGAGCTCATCCCCTGAATCCACCTGCGCCTCTGGAAGCACACAATCGCCTTTGGTTCGCATTGTCGACCCTAATGCGAACTGCTGACGCCATCGCAGTACATATGCAATCAGGTGTTGGGGCACTTCTTATAGCATCGCCTCCAAGGGGATGTTTTTGGACAGGTCATGGAACCACATAGTGTGTCTCCGCAAGCCCGCCAATGCCATGGTGAGTGCAATCACGCGTTATTGCAGCAACACACTGCACAGTGAATTGATATTTCCAAGAGGCTCATAAAGAAGAGCGAAAGTTTTCAAGCGGCATTCGAATTCACATGCTTACTCAAAACCGTCATGGTCGAGGTGGAGAAAAAACGAAGGGAAATAAGCTGTGCTGGGATCTCGACAATCTTCAAAGTCAAAACCTGAATGACTTTCACGAAAGGTCTCTGATATCGCAACAGATATTATTTTGTGTTCTCTCATAAGGTAAAATATATTTTCACACGAAAATGAACGACGGGGAATGAGACGCTGATAGAGTCTCCAGTTGTGACATCGTCCGTTGAATTGATTACGTAACTGAAAAAAAGATTCCTTCATTAAAACCGCAGTTCCAACTTTCTATTATGTAAAAAAATTCTATGGTTGGCGACAAGATACGATGTGTGGTGTAATCGTGATAATGCCTAGATTCGAGCAGAACTTATGACCTGATGTTCTTGTGTCATTGACTTGAACCGCTGTTATACGTTTCCGGTACATGCGAGCTTTCTATCCTTGAAAGACATAGTGGCGATTTCTGTCTGCCACAAATATATCAAGTTCTAAATCTTACTTGTATCTAAGCATTCTTGTAAAGATTCCTTTTGATGAGTACCTATAAATCATTCTTAAGTACATTTTTAAAGATTTAAACTTTCAGCCTCCCCTTGAATTTGAAACAGTTTTTCAGTTGAAAATGAGCGCCGAGAGAATCAGACACACATAACATCTACAGAGGCCACATCGACCGGTAGCCTTAGTATGTTCCCAACAAAAAGTTTCTATACATGGATTTCTACCAATAAATTACGTGAAAATTTGTGCAACTTCAACTTCCAGCTTCTCTTTTTATTAATTAAAACGTTCCTTTTTTCAGATGAAACTGAGCGTCGAAGAAATGAGATACTGGCAAGTGTTACTCAAATTTCAATTGATTGAAAAAAGAACTAAATTACTGTCATTTAGGAAGAGTACAAACGCAAAAGCCAATTCCTTCTGTAAGTTTTAGATCATAAAGCTTTTCTAAAACCTTTTAGCCAGTACCGCTAACGCGAGGATATTGCACAAAATTCCGATCGCGCCTGTGGAACTGATCACTACTACTGCAGACAATATCATGCTAAAAACCGTTCTTGACGTATCAACAATTTAGTTGACTACTGAATTCTGCTCTGCAGGTATTCATGTTTCAGTGATGTTACCAAGTTTCGTCTACTTCTACTTGCGATGGCAATGAATTTGGTGATAATAGTTCAGCTAATATTGCTCACGATTCTTCGGAAAAAACTTCGAGATCAATATGAGAATTTGACTCAGTGCCAGTCAGAAGCCAATAATGGAAACGTCGCCAAAAGCGCGATGTTAATGCGTGATCAACAGAAGATGTTCGCCCAAGAAACCTTTCGTCGGATCAATCACGAAACCCACACATGAAGAAACGCCAGAAAGCGATGTTGTGCTAATTTTCAAGATTCGTATAAAATTTCAACAATAATTTACTAAGACAACGTTCTGAAGGTGTTCACTTCTAATGAACATGATATGATACCCTGACAATAAACGGTGAAGCTCTGAGCGTTGATCAATTCCTGAGTGACTGGCTAGGTAGATGACTTCATCAAGCATCGTTAGAGGGGATTGCATGCATACCTGGCCTTTGCAATAACTCGCGATAGCGCGCGGATGTATCAAGTCAGTGCTGCCAATCTGCCTAACAGTCCAGTAACAATTAGCGAACTCCAGATGGATGGAATGCTTGATCATCTTCGGGTGCACGATCGAACCAAAGAGCACGAGTGTGTCGCCGAACACTTCAACTACAGCCACACGAGCTGCTTCACATTCGAAACTCTGAATCACTTGAGACTACGCATTCTTTCATGCCGAAACATCAGAAAAGAACACTTGAATAAGGTTCCAGTTACGACATGTGGATGTGTTTCAAATTAAAGACTGCTTTCACTGGCCAAATATTTTTTTACAATCACTATTACATTAGGGAACTCTACACTACCAAAATTAACCATGTACCTAAGAGAAATGAGTGGTAAGTAAAGATTCGACCTTAGGTGGGAGTAGAAACAGAAAAACATAGGAAATCTTGAGTATTATGTATCACAATGGCTATAGGCTTAAATGGGTTTATAAGGCGATATGTGCTAACTCAACCAAACATGTTAAAGGGCTGGTGGCTAATAGCTACGATAGACAAATAAAAAAAGGAGGGGTAGCGAAATGGTTTCTCGGTGGTGTAGTGGTAGCACATGCCCCCCGGTATGGGTGTAACGCGGGTTCAGCTCCCGCCTGAGGTCGGATTTTTGCTTACCACTCAATTCTCTTAGGTTTCTTTGAAACATTATATCATGAGAAAAGGCAGTAGAAACACAAGAAATTTTAGTTGGTGACCATGTAATTGAAGAGAAAACTATAAATCCTTATGCTTTTATAAATAACAGTCAAGTGAAGCTATCACGATACAACATTCCTCTCGGAATTTACCTCAGCCAGTCTCGGATCCGTGTTAACCACTTGATACTTCTTCCGCCTATAGCTTTAACAACGCTTTGTATCATTCTTACCATAGTTACTAACCTGCCAATACTTTGTTGCAATGAGTGGTAGGAGTTTGTCGGCCTATCTAGTATCGTAACTTGTCTCTAGCGGATCTTGATATATTTAATGTAGGCAATGAGCTATGATGTCAACCTAATTAACAAGTGACCTTTGGAAGACTGTGGCTATCCGCCGAGTATATCCTCAGGATTGTTTATTCGACAATTGAAAAAAGTTCTCAAATATCAGATGTATTGCAGGTCGGACAAAGATTGACAACGACACGAATATAAGCAGTTGTCTGGAAGTTGTTGACACCAAAAATAGTAGTTTTCGAGATTGCATTAACTGGACAACTCTTCTATCGGTACACAAGCAGTACCTCTTACCTCGCTACCACGTAACAATTAACATTCAACGATAGTTTAATGAAAATTAGTGCAAGTGGCATAATATGAAGGAAAAACAATATTCAGAATGTCCCAAGAAGCATAGATGAAACTGTCACAATGATGTGGCGCAATGAGAATACGAGGGAAATTTCTAACCATTAGAAAAGTCTCGAAAGCTAAAAACGTTCAATGTTAGAACGTTTAAGAAAAAGGAAAGGGTTGTTTATGAATAGGAGGGAACAAACGAAAAATCGATCTCATTTGCTGGAGAGCAAATTCGCACAAGAATATTAGTAACCATTCGAAAGCTGAGACTTGTGTCTCGGACCCACGCCGATCGGTTTTTCAAAACATCCCTCTGTGACATTGTAACATTCAAAACAAAATCATGTTATACAAAAGCACGTGCTTCTTCTTCTATCGCGCTTATATTTCGCTGGACAAATCTTCTTCCTTAAAGTGCTAGTACTCAAACTATACGACAAGCTTCAGAGAACTCAAAAATGTGCTTGTTTTTTAAAGCTATTTTGATCTTTTGGTCTCCTCTGGCTTCTGAGTTGTGCTTTAAACCCTGCCGGACAGAGCTCTTCTGTTAGTAATTAGTCTGATATGTTAATGTTTTCTGATTCTAGCGATGTGATTAGTTTTTCGAAACACGGTTCAGTACGGAAAATAAGGTCGAATTTTACTTTTCTGGTAACGTTGTTTACACGGTATTACACAAGGACGAAGGCCGTAACAGAGGGCGTGGCAAGGGCAGGGCGAGGCGAGTCCATCGATATTCTGTTATTTAATGGGAAATTTTCCCTCTACTCTGGAAGAAACCTTACATTAAACGATTGAATATGATACGACGAAAAATTTTCTCTACACATTGATATGCTTTTCGGCTTCCAGCTAGTCATACGCGTGATAATCCTCTGAAAAACTGGCAATGTGGGGCGGTAGCATTGAGTCTTAGCTTTCGAATGGTTACTAGCACTTGTATGAAAAGTTCCTCTCCAGAAAATGAGACTGTGTTTTTCATTTGTTCCTCTTCTAACAAGAAAGGACCAAGAAAGTTACAAATGATTAGAGTGGAAAAAACAATGCCAGGTCCCGCTAGTGAGGGAAGCCTAACGGAATCCCATGCGGCATAAACGGAAGATGGGGACCGAATACTTTGAAACCAAAGCAATGGTACTAGCCGTACCAAGTCAGTTATCAAAAAAAAGAGCAGTATGAACTGAGTAAACACGTCCACAAAAAAACAAGAAAATCTCCGAAGATTGAAATGTAAACATTAATGCCGTTCAACTCTTCTCATCAAAAAGAACAAGATTGTATTCTCTGAAATAAGAAAATAATTCACATTTCGCACTTCGATGATCACATACAGTTTTCATCAGGCAAGCATAAAAATCAGAAGAATCTTTTCAGTTAGGCTAATCACGTCTTCTTAGAGTTTCCGTATGACAAAAAAAAATTTCCAGTCCACGGAGCCCTACCTACTTGCTTCAGCTGCAGAATACAGGAGAAAAAGTAGGGACCACAGGACATTTTTCTAAAGCATATTAGGCTATTGAGGTCTAACTATGCAAAGTAAGGAACTAGCGGAGATCGAAGTGCGACGCAAATCAACGGAAGCCTAGCCTCCCTCGCCTAGGTGCTATTCAAGCTGCCGAGTAGGATATCAGATTCTGGATGTCGAATAAAGAATGAGAGAATGCCGAGTGCGGAAAAAGCTCTGGCAACTGATGGATCTCTCGACACTCTAGAAAGAAATAGTGTTGAGCCAACAACAAGTCAGATAAATTGAAGATCGAGTTCTTCTCATTTAATAGCTTATAGCGGTGGCATGATGGTATAGATATACATAGTGATGTAGAGCGATCTGCATAACCGCAGTCAATCGGGACTCGAACCACCACCTCACTCTAGGGGAGGACGTGCTCTAACCGGTTGCACTAGTGACGCCCGTATTTCCCACCACTGTTTCAACGATACGGCGCATCTATCTGTCAGCAACCAGGCGTCAACAGTTTTGGACCACGTAGCCGGTATCGACACTGAACCCAGTCACGCCGACATTATAAAGGGGTGTTTTGAAAAACCGGCGACGTGGGGGTTGTAGCCTCAGGTCTCAGCTTTCGAACCGCCATTGAACACTTCTATGTAACGTTCCTTTCCAGTGGATAAGGTCGTTTCTCACTTGTCCCCTTGTACTCAGAAGGAACCCGAAAATCTTGGGTATGATTCACGGACAACACGCGAATCCGAGAGAACTCTCGTGGATAGCGAATACGAGGAATGATCGCTGGTAAAAGGCGCAGTCAGATCGGCTGATTTCCGATTCTACTGCATTATTTCCCCTCTCTTGTATTTGTTGATTTTCTACAACTTCGTGAACACGACGATGACAAGTGGGCGGTTTTCGCGCTCTAACGACACTTAGCCGCTCCATCGCAAATAGCGATTTCGGCGTGTCAGCGCAAATTCGAATCGTTCCTTCTGGGCGACGACATTGCCCGCTCGTGGTTCCTTCGTACTTGGGTAGATCACGGAGCGAGGCGTTTCACTTTGATTGTCTTCCATTTCTTCTCTTTTCCTCTTTTCTCTCGCTTTCCCCATTTATCGATTTTTTCCCATGGAAAGTCTATGAAATAAACCCTCAGCGGGTTTATCGCCATAGTGTTCATAGCACTCAGATTGCAGCCTAGAGTCCTACAAAATACTCCCGATATCAGAAATATCTATGGGGACTGGGCGCATCGCTGAATAGCACCTGTGTTAATGCCAGTACCTAAAATCACTAACGTTCGTGTATTCGAATTTTTACACGTTTAAAATCGTCTTTATTCAACCATTTGCAGACGGCAAGTCGATTTCTGCAAGCGATGCGCGATGTTTCGCTGCCCTAAAATTTCTTAGATAAGAGCGGTTTGGGATAAGAGTGGCCTGTGCTGAGGAACAGTACCTAGTTAGTAGTTTTAGTGTTTTCCTGACAATTTTATTAGTTTATTAATTCCTAGTAACTTCTTTCTACTTAATAAAACTTAAGAGAATTGAGTGGTAAGCAAAAAATTCGACTTCGGAGGGAGTTGAACCCGCGTTTCATCCATACCGCGCGTGCTACCACTACACCGCCGAGCCACCGCTCACCCATCAGTCATTTTTCACTAACTTCCTATCGTAGCGGACAGCCTCCTAGAAATATTAGAAGGAACTTAGAAGAAATTTCATCACCAAAAACGCGCTTGTTTGTCCGTCCTCTTTTTTTTTTTGCAAAAATCAAAACCGCTTTTATCTATGGAATTCTAGGGTGATTAGAAAGGATTTTTGTCTTCGCACTGGGCAAAAACTCTCAGGTTTCTGGCGTCGCACTGATACTCCATGATTTTCTCTACTAGCTGATTACTCTTTTGTGCATTCATTACTCTTATGCGCAAAGAAACCTTCGAGTGTGAAACGTAACCTTTTTTCGCTCTTACAGCGCATTATGAAAAGCTTTTCGAAGACTAATTGTAGCAATGCAATCGTCGAGATTTGTCCTATCGAATGAGTATCAGTATAGTCTAATAAGAAACGACGTACAGACTTTATCCGGACGAACAAAGAGAACCGAGTGTGAAATATAGTCTTATTTTCGCTACTACGGCGTACTAAGAAGACTTTGTGAGAAAACAGACACAGTGCTGAGATCGTTAGGATTTTACCTTTTGAATGACTACTAATATCGCAGATCTAAAACTTTGTCCAATGAAGAAAGACTTCTGAAAGTAGAGGATCCCAAGACTCTCCACTTTGTTCAGAAAGGGTTTATCTCGGCTTGAACGGTCAACAGTGGATTCTTCAGAATTTAACTAATGCCACGAGTTTGACATGAAGAAGAATTTGCTGATTTATTAGTTATTCTTGTGACTATTTGCTGATTTTCTATTTAACGTTCAAACGTTTTTGGCCGAAAACTCTTCATATGACGCTTGGAGTGTTGGCAAACCTTTGAAAAATTTTCATCTCACTTCTGTAATGAATTTTCTGAGAGACTTTTTGACTGTTATATTCGCATGTTGCGCGGTGGTTAGAGGTGCTCTGCGTCGCATACGAGGTCGATGGTTCGATCTCGCGCTCCAGTTCACAAGCTATCCATCCTTCCGGCGTCGCTAATTGTTACCACATTTTTCTCAGACTTGTCTCGAAGGATAGGCTGCGGGAGGCCACTGCGAGTCATTGTAAAGCCCAGATATGCATCCAATCACTTCAAACAGACTTGAAAATTGAAGACGAATGCAGAGCGCAAACCTCAGGGATTGATCAACGCTGAGAGTTTTATCCTTTATGCTCATAACGCTGAGGTGTCTGCTCTACTGTGTTAACGAGGGAGCTGGTTGA